ATCAAAGGGGTTTCCTCTCCTCTTGGAAGCCATCCTATTATGTCTCACACACAAAACATGTCTCACGCAATGCAACTTCCAAGATATGAATGTGGCAGTTCAGGCCAAATGATGTTCAACATTCCTAGCTATCCTGGATTTCCTTTTTATCCTCATATTATCCAATCTGCTATTCCTCCCCAAGCCTCGCAGGTTGTAATTCTCACATTTATATATATATATATGGTGATTGTGGTCATCTTTCGTCTGCTTGTGAACTAAATTTTGAACATTCTTGTTTCAGTTCTGTCCTGGAGTTCCTAATGTCAATAATGGCGTGACTTATGATTTTGATAGATCAATTCAAAGTCGTACAGACATTCCTAACTTTCCGATACTTCCTGGGTATCACAATAATACCACAACTGCTATGATTTCTCAAATACCACAGGTGCTCAATGACTACATTTGATTTAAAGAAAAACCACATTTAACTTTTCGGCCCTAAATGTTAAAATATTCCTTTCAGTTATCTTTTGCAGCCCTGCCTATAAATAATAGTTCATATCTTGGATTGCTTCAACAAGTCATGAAAAATAGTGCGCGTACGAGTAAGTTTTGTTAGGCGCAGTTTTGTGCAAATATGTATTATATATTTTGATACATATTTAAGAAAAATCTAGGCATTGATAAACACACTTGTTTGTTACAGGTTAATCATGTTACAACATGTACATTATATGTACAAGGTAAATTGTGTGATCTCTTACACTAAATGGATAACTCTTTGTTTGGTTGTCATCCCCGCTTTTTATTATTGGATGGTAATGATGTTTGTGATAATATTTTCTGTATGATTTAATGCTGAAGGTATGAATGATTACATCAAACCTGTAATTTGCATCATTGCTAGTTATGATACTTGATTACTATGCATTTTTCTTTTCGTGCTAGCGTTGATTTATTGTCATATGCTGATTTTTTCCAGATCATCTTCACAAATTACGACACTTCTACAACTTCAAGGCAGAGATGAGCAACATCTGAAAGAGTGTTTTGGATAGAATGATGATACTTTCGTGTAAAATGCACATAACGTCAAGAGTTGATTTTGTTTTTTTCTGTCTAACTGATGTTGTGTATTTGGTGCTTTTCATAGGCAATGTTATCATTGTTTTTTAATTTTAATAAGCATTGGCTGAGTTATAGTCTTAAAAGAAAACCTGAGCATGATTCACCAAAGATTAATGCTTATAAAAAAAAATGTTCCCTAAATACATCAAGTGCAGCCGAAGTTATTCTCCCAACAACAGCTGTGGCAAAACAGCTACTAATCTTTTAATTTTCATCTCCCTTCTAGTGCCTCTCAGATTTTTCAGGGTCTTGTAATGATAATGAAAGCTGCCTTTCGAGCATGTTTGGCTGTGCCAATAATTTGTGATCTCAGGCATGCCAATGCTCGGGTGGCTGCTGTACTTTTTGTTATTTACTTTTTTTCTTCATATCATAATCAGTTATTGTAGCTATAAGAGACAAAGTTGGCTTTAATAGGAATCTTTGCGCTTCAGATTTTCAACTTCCCCCCTCACCCAGTGTAACGCCACCCCATCACCTTTAATTTATTTATATAGATATTGATCTCTTATATGAAGGGATGGACCAGGCCTGGTCCAGTTCTAGGTCGGGCCCGAGCGGGCTTGATTTTTCTGGGGTGAAGCCCGGCACCGGCCCGGAAATCTACCGGTACCGGGACGGGCCGGTTCTTTTAATTTGTTTAAGTTTTTTTTTTCAACTCCCCACCCCCCAAACCCGTCAAAACACCCAGCCCACCTACCATAGGCTGAAACCTAAAAAAAAGTCCCAGACCGGCCGGGCCGGGCCCTATTTACCCAGTACTTATTTTATGTGGATTAATAAAAATTTTGTTATGAATTGATAAAGAATAAAAAGAAAAGATTGAGTTATACTTTAAGTTGAAGGCGGGAGTGCTACTGTAAAGGATCGATCCGCTCTAGCTCATACATATCCCCTTTGGAATCCCCGCTAGTAGGATGGCAGAAGCTAAACACAGATGCGAGCTTCAATCCAGCAACTGGAGAAGCTACGGCGGGCTGCATCATCCGTAATTGCAGAGGCGAAGTTTTGTTATTTGTCTGGAGAAGGCTCCCCAAATGTGCTGCAGCTATGGAAGCTGAAATATTAGCTTGTGCTTTAGAGTTTTTTTCAGTTTTGGTTAAGTCAAAGCATATTATCTTCTGCACCTGTTTTTTGGAGGTGATTTGAAATGTAGGAAACATAATTACGTTTTTATTATAGATATGTATTTATTTGCTATTAGTAATTGGATTTACTTTAACCATTCATTATTTACTCTATAATAGATTGCTTCTTTGGTTCTGTTTTTTGTCTGTTTTTGTATTACACATAGATGATTAAGCATTTCGATTATCAATGTCTTCCATAAAACAAGTTATACCATATGATGAATATCCAACCCTGGGGGTAGGTGTAACGTTGATTGGAAATATATCTTGGACAATTGGCTGATTGGTACTGTGTGTAACATAATTGTACTTTGTGTACCAGAATGCATGTGTACGTGTGTCACACGCGTGCTAGCTATCTGGAATATTCCGTGTAGTAACCACCAGGTGACATACATACATACATACACACACACACACACACACACACCTACATACATACATACATACATACATACATACATACATACATACATACATACACACATACATACATACATACATTTTTTTTAATGGAAATGGGACTTTATTAAAAAGATGAATAAAGAGTACAAGCAAAAGTAGGAAAAAGGATATAAAAAGAAAAAAGAAAAAAAAAAGCGAACAAGAACAAACAAAGAATCACCCAACCCAAAGTGTAGTAATAAAAACCTTCACTAAGTAACTCGAACCCTCTCTAAGTATTTCGACTTTAGAGCCCTGAATCCTCAAAGTCCCGCTCACGATTGAGATCTGGTCCTCATGAGATGTGATCGCTGATGCAAGAATTCTCTCAAATTCATAGAGAAGAAAATGAGAGAATGAATCCACCCCCTATGTCAAAGTATTCTGAAAGAATTCATTAAGCTTATCAGATTCGGAGATACAGTCCATGTTATTAACATCATCACTACAAACTAAATCATATTTAAAAGAATCTAAATGCTCAAAATCAGCTTGTAGCAATGTGCCAGAAATGGAGGTTTCTGCTTCACCTTCAGATTTATCCTCATCATAGGTCAAAAAGTCCAAATCAAAAAAATTAGAGCCCACATCCTCTGGAAAAATCTTACTTGAAGCATGTTTGCAAAGCCTTGAGATACATGCATGCATGCATGCATGCATGTATGTGTGTGTGAACAGTTCTAACAACCACAATATGCACCTTGGGGCAAAGCACTGGGTATATTCAATTTTAACAAGCGAAGCAAATACAAATATTATTTTAAATGATCTATTTTTCAAGCGAATATGTATAAAGATATTCATCAATTTATATGAATGTGGATAATAATATCAAGTATTTCATCCGTTTATTTACAATGCTAATTCGCTATGTCAATAATAAAAAATTAAACATGCAACTATTTTGACCAAATTTGTGAAAGGTAATTATTTAGTTAAGATTTCCAAAGAAAAGACAAAAACTCTGGTATAGTATGTCATCAATCGGCTAGGTCCAAGTCCAATTAGGGTTGTTAACGAACCAAGTTTTTATCGAAATGTTCGAGTTTGAGCTCGGTTTCAAACCTAACTACGCGAGCTTAACGAGCTTTCGAACTAGAACCAGAGCTGCATTATAAGTTCAAAAAATTAAGGCTAAAGGGTCAAATAGGTTATTGAACTAACTTAAAGTGTTCAATTAGCCCCTTATGTAGGAGGTTCTGTCCGGTCGTCGCCAATTGGGGTGGTTCCCAGTGGAATATTTGGATGAATGTTTTTGAGCATCTTCTTCTTTAAGTCTAGTTTACCCATACCAAATTTTAGCTAAAAATTCAACCGGGAAGGCAGTCAAATGATTTTTTTGAAGATAACTGCGTAGTTAAATAACGCAGTATATTTCAAAAAACCATTTGACCCTTTAGCCAAAAATTAATCAAGCCGAGCTTCAACATAGTAGTATTCAACTCGGTTCAAACTCGAGCATACCGAATCATTCGAAATTTTGACATATACTCCGTATTATTTATATATATGTTCAAATTTAAATATAATTAGCATGATTTTATGAATTAAATATGATTATTAACGAAATGAATACATGTCAAATCATTCGAGCATGGGCCTATTAACAAGCAACACATAAAATTTTAAATTCGAGCATATTTATCAAGCTTATCGAGCGCTCGGTTCGAACATCGAACACCTATCGAGCCGAACACGAGCCTCATTTGTAAAGCTCGCCGAGCTTCAAGCTCGAACACGAACATCACTAATTCCTTATCAAACGCCTGATCTTGGACAAATTACAGTCCAAGCAAAAACATCCTTATTAAATTACTCTTATGGTAGTGTTTTTAACAAAGAACATTTTCAATTTTTTTTTCATATTATCAATATTACCGTGGATAAATATATAATTAATCAAAGTTGAACAATTTTGACTTGAAAAATATAGTGCTTGACTAAATAAAAAGAGACGAAAGGAGTATGAAATTCCAAATTCAAATTGGATTGTCATTATCCTATCTAACTTATTTTAATAAAATAGCTCATATTTTATGAAAGTATTGCACTCTAATTTGGGGTTATTTACGGTGAAGTATATCAAGCATGTGATAATTGGATCGTGGGCTCTCAAGTGTCAACTTAACAAGGAAGTAAACCCATCAATTAAGCTCACGAAACAAATGTAACTGCCCACTCACACCACTATTCATGTTTCAACGTAACTTTAGTCATACCACTCTGCATGTTCATCAAGTATGTAGCTTCCAATTTCATTACATAAGTACAAATACAAGAAAGCCACGCCAATACAAGTATCTAAGTTCACATTACATTTTCAATCTAGTACTCAATTTTCAGCCATGACAGGAGACCGTAGGGGGAGCAAGCTCTCGAGCATAATCAGAAGAAAGCCAACCAAGGCAACCAAGGCAGCAAGTCCAGTATCTGGGAGAGGAAATGGGAAAAAGCCAAACATGTGCAAAGGTCTGGAGAAAAACTTTGAAGATGAATTCATTTGTGTTGGAAGTCAGCCATGGATTCGTAGCCTGAAAAAACCTTCTATTATAGAAATCATTGATATTTCTTCCAGGTATCGTTAATAATTTATTTAAAATGCCCATGATATAAATCAATTACTTAGTGTCATTAATTAATATGTATGCATGAAATATTTTTTTCTTTAAAACAAAGGTATTACGTCATATATATATGAGTTACATGCATACAGGTCACAAAAGCATAAATTTTATTATACTTCATAAATATATATGTATATGTTTACCTAATGCATTCATGTTGCTTAGATCACATATTGGCCAGGTATATAATTAAGTATATTTATGAAAAACATCTCACTAATTTAACTATGCATAACTGGTTTTAGTTCTGCTAATTTTACATACTAATGATCTATTTAAAATAATATTTCTATAAATTAAAAGAATACACTTTTAGAACACATACAATATCATTAAATTATAAAATGTTCCTCATCCCCATTACATAATAGGAAATGGGGATGGAAATTTCACTAATATATTAGAATTAAAATACAGATTAAATACCCATTTAATCGTTGATTAAAAAATATTATTTTCCTGTTTCACAGTTGTCCAGAAAGCCCACTTAGGAAAACTGAGGAAGATGAAGTAAGCAGCCCCTGCCCATCTACGCCAATTATTGGTAGCAAAGAGGTTGAAGACATTAAAATTGCATTTAATAATCTGGCTAACCTGATCATCACTCATATTCCCAATATCTGTGTTGATGTGAGTCCTTCGGGTATCCCCTTTGCTACCACCAATCCAGCACCTGCAAAGCTTCAATCTTTTCAAAAAACGGCAGAAAAAAAGGCACAACCTGAAAGCAGACTGACTGTTTTCAACAAACTAGAAATGCATGAAAGAAGTCAGTATGGCACTAATATCGAAAGGAACTTGTTGTCTAAATTTGAACAATGCAGCAACAAGGATTTCTATATCAATTTCAAACCGTTGCCTTCCACTCCCAGGGGCCGAACTTTAGATGAATTTGTTATGCCAAAAGTAAGAAACAATTTCATTTTATACTATGTTTTACTTCAATTTTATAAAAATAAAACTTTTTATAATAATATACATACACAATTTTTTTTGTAGTGGGCACCTGTAGCGTTTAGTCCTCCTGGTATGCTATTGGATGAAATTGAAACAACTTTGATAGCTTATATTTTTATGAGTGATGAGGACAACAAACATGGGTAAGTGATATGCATTGATATAATAACTTTGATATAAAGGCATGTTTATTGAAATCAGTTTGATGTAGGAGTGAGATTCTTATCAGCACGGAGTATGGAATTGGAAATAGAAAAACATTGAAAACTCTCATACCTAATGACTGGGTTGACCAAGAGGTTAGCTAAATGTTCATTAATTACTTGGAATTCTCTATGAAAATCATCTCATACCTATTGTTTTTTATTTTAACTACAATAAATTTTAATTTTATTGCAACTGATTTTTGAAACATAACGTGCAGGTTCTTAATTTGATGGCATATACGCTTAAATATGGTGATTCTGCACCACATTCGACTGTGTGGTTCCTACCAACAATGTTTGCTGTATGCACACTTTACATATATAGGCGTACAAACATGTGTTTTGTTTTAAATGAACTTTTATCAAAATTTTACTTATGTGGATGTTTTCATTGTAGCAATTTGCATTGGACTGGGGTTACAAATCTGAAATTGTGAAGCGCTTTTTTCAACGTGACTTCATGGGAAAAGTTGGCTGCTTGAGAAAAGTAATTTATAGAAGATAAAAATTTTCATTTTGAACCATTTATATCGACATATTTAGAGTTACTAACACGTTTACTTGCAGATTTTTATTCCAATAAATGATCAGCATGTTCACTGGTATTTGTTGGTGGTTGCATTTGACGAAAAAAAGTTGATACTATTAGACTCTTTACCCTCAGAAGGAAGAAGGGAATACAGGCGCGACTCTGTTAAGGAACTGGTAACTTCTTTGTTTTACTCTTACAAAAATAAAATACATGTTTCCTCCAATCTAATAACAGAACTTCGTTGTTCTTCATAGGCTCACTTTCTTGATGACATGTTTATGGACAAATCATTTTTCGATACGCCAACTAAATTCAAATATGACATATCTGACTTTGCTTTGGTTGAGCCAAGAGACCTTCCACGCCAACAAATTGGATCGTATGTTCTCACATATTTTTTTAATGTTACTGTCCATTTCAATAAACTAAATCGAAGCTCATATGTAATTTTTTTCTATTCATGTAAGTAATGACTGTGGAGTGTGGGTCGCTATGTGGATGAAAGAATATGCACGTCGTGATGATTTTTATCATGTATTTGTAAGTACCTTTCCGGTTGACCTAAATTTTTAATGAAATAATCACACACCGCACGCCTATATGTATGCATTTATGTTTGTAGATATGTACCCCTAATTTGGCTATTTTATGAACGTGGGTTCAACCAGACTCACGGATGCGCATCGCTCTTGATTTGGTAACCCATCCTCTGAATGATTTGAAGGAGGATGTCGAACAAAAAGCAATGCAGTACTGGACCGAACTTCAACGGAAGAATGCTACCGGCGGCATATAAAGTTTATTTATCTGGCTATTTACTTGTGTTATTTAAGTGCTTACATGCTTTACTTCAGACTCTGTTTTTAATTGGTTTATTTAGTTCAAGACTTTAAGCGTTAGCTTTGAATTTAGTTTCACTTATCTACTTCATGGTATTGCTGAACAATTTAAAAGTCATATTTCCAGTCTTAGTGATGGTTCATTTTCTGTTCGAGTTCATTTAAATTATTAGTCAATATTGGATATACTTTGAGATTTGCACTTTTATAACTGTTGGTTGTGATACATTTATGTGATCTATTTTAATAAACTTTTATTGGATGTCCATACTATATGAAAATCATATGCAAATGTACATCTCCCTTACATGTGAGGATGTGCCTAACACAAGAGATGAAACAATGAAGTACCTACATCATCATTACAACATGCAGGAATAGAAAAACCAAGAAAAATGTATATGACACCATAAGTCAACATAAAGCTGCAGACTAACCGTGCAAGCAAGTGTATAGGCGGTATAGCCAACCAATAGAGGAGATGAAGCAAGCTGCTAATGGACCTGTGTCAATAAATGAACACAAATTAAAAGTATAGCCAACCACTAAAGGAGGTGAAGTAAAAAATTAAAGTGCCAGAATTGAACATGGTCGAATAATATTTAAAAGTTTTAACAGGATAGACTCTCATCAAACATCATACTATAAGTAACTATAAAATAAAATGCTGCCAACTCAAATGCTTGTCAACTTAAAAATCATTGAGGCAACAATTTTGAACAATCAAATAGATTTCAGCCTTCACATGTGACATGGACCACACTAGTTATTTTTTAAAAAAATGAGAACAGAAAATTTAGAAAACAATTTGCTCTAGTATGTGCAACTCAAGTTGCACAATGCTCAGTTATTGAGAATGAACTAAAACAGAAAGGCTAAAATTGTATTAATAATAATATATACTGAAGTTTTACATATAGAAAAAGCTTAATGCACAATTCTACCACGAAGTTCACTTCAAAGGATTCACCTCTACAAAAATAACTTTATCTGTCAGTTGAAGACCAAGAAGATCTCTCACTTGCCGAGCAAAACTTATAAAAAGGGGCAAATTTGTCGATGTAGCATCATGGTCCTTTAGATCCTTAATAATGTTCACAAATATGCTACAATCTTCTATAACTCCGACAACGTAAAGTTCCAAGAGAAGTTTCTATGTCATTGCATTCCTGTTCGGTTGTAAAGTCATCAGCAGATTTCCTAGGAAAGAACACTTGCATGAGGCCTTGAACTATGCTTGGTGAAAACTCTGTATACCGCTAATGTAGCAAAGAGCAGACCTAGCAGGAAAAAATATTAGTTAAACGACAAGGCAAATCATTATAGAAAGGCGAAAAAACATATTATTTCCCCTTTCACAGTGAAAGCATTTCATAGTTTCATGAGCATCTGCCAGTCAAGAACTGAGGAATAGTGATCCCATCTATATCAGTTCTTCAAAAGACCACTTGAATAACAGCCGAAAAATGTAGAGTATATAATACGCCTTTGCAATGGGAAGCCATCAAGGTTTTGGCAGGTTACTTCCAAAAGATAATTCATTTACACGGTTTGGTTAAAATTGTGCTTCCATTGTTTGGTTGACAGAAAAGGCTGCTAATAATTGTTACAAGGATACACCGGTATATCATATGTGATGTTCATTTATTACATTAATTTTTTACAAGAGGTTAGTTAGTCCCTTTAGTTCTCTAACACCACTTTTTAATGCTAGATTCTGCCAGTGTATTTATACATATTCACACACACATACACCTATTTGCAAACACCCATTAGTTCATTTCATAACTAGGCCTTATCTCCTCAAAGCTGTTATGTGGAAGTAGATCAAGTTCTCCATATGTTGATCAGGCAGTTCAAATAAGAGGACAACAAATTTTACGTTTACAGAGAGATTCAAATCAACGTGCTTAAACTGCTTATAACATCAGTCTATCAATCACCACAATAAGCAAATTATTTACTTAAAGACTTTTTTTTTTTTTGAGAAAAAAAAAAGTAGAATGAGGTTTATTAGATGGATGGGTAACAAGAATAGATTTTAAAACCCCTGATTCAACAATTTAGGTGAAACTATGAAAAAAAACATGAATAAAAAGGTGATAAAAAATGAAAAAGACTGAATAGCAGCAACTTATCCTACCGTAAGGGCTTATCTCCTGAATTCATCTCAGAGTAAGAGTTTATCTCCTTAATCAATTTATATAGTCATATAAGGTGAAGTAGAAGTTAAGGAGTTCAAAGGATAAAAAAAATATGGAGTAAATAACTTGATTTTATTTATGAGGTGTTCCAACTCATTGAGAACATGAAACACAAAATACATTCTCATGAGTTGCTCTTTAGCTTTTAATGGAGGTTTTTCATTGTCTCATTGATTAGGGAAAGTTGGCATTTGCACCCATGTATGAATTGGACTTTACAAACATTGCCTGCTATTACACTGATGCAAAAAGTAAAAGGCACCAGAAGTGAGCAATTACCTAAAATAAGAATGGTCCACATTTCTTTTCTTTGTTTTTGAAAAAAAGATCGATCCACTTAAGACCAAAATACACAAAAACATATGTATACAGTGTAGTGAGTATTGTACAATCACTTGGAGATATATCTCCCTGGTCAGGCAAAATTCTTGGATAAAACTATTGAACGTTTATCATACCATCTATATTACGAACAGATCAAGACTACTAATTTCTAAGCCAACCGGGACTAAAGAGAATCCCATTTCTCCAAAGGAAATAAATAGAATAAGAAAGTCTGCCCAAGACATGTACCAAATATTTCACATACCCCCAGCAAAGAAACTAGATAAAACAAAGCTCACATGAATTGCTCCTAACATAGGGGATTGCCTCATCCGCACCGCCAGCAAGCCTTTCTACAGCGAATATTCAAGGAGAACGTTTATTTCAAAGGAGTATTTGGTCCAACGATTGTAAGGAATCGAAAGCTAAGCGAAGACCATCTATCCCTACCCCCTAAGCCACTGTTGTTAAAAAACCAATGCAAAAGATAAAAATCAATGAATAAGGCAGAACGAGAACAAGCCAAATAGTCCCTCATTGAACAAACTTGAATCTTCACTTCTATTTAGAATGTAAAAGACCATCTTTTTCACTGCAGTTAAAGCACTCTGTAAACATCTTCCAAACACGAACATTATACCTCCTCTTGCACTCATCGAAGAAACCATATATCCTATTGATAGAAGCACATTCATGGTTGCCTCTTAGGAGAAAAAAGTTCTCCTTGTATTTAATCTTGAACGCAAGGAGAAGGCTAATTGTTTCTACACTCTACTTACCACGGTCAACATAGTCTCCTAAGAATAGATAATTGGCCTCGGGCGGATACCCACCATACTCAAACAACCGCTGAAGATCAGAGTACTGGCCATGAATATCACCTGCAGTGTACACGGGGCACTACTTTTAAACTCCGTTACCAATCCTTTTATATCATACTGCATAATATATCACTGGGAAATCTTGTGATTATGAACATAGATTACTAAATTGTTCATAATTGTGTTATACACTTATTTCATCAGTCATCACCAAAGAAACAACATGTAGTTGAGTGGCCAAAGGCAAAGCTTTGAACTTTGTTGGCAAAACAGGACAACCACTTCACCTATAAAACTAACAATACATATAGCCTGAACTTAAGCTAGTGTTCAATTGATAAGCCACAAACAAACAAAGGACAACATACTATTTTACACATTAAACGAAAAACAAAATAAAAAAGACAGAAGAAAATTTGTGGTTCAATTTACCACAAATCTTGATGGGTGCTTCGAGCTCGAGAAGATTAGGCTGGCTGAGAAATATCTTTTTGGACGCCACACAAAGCTCCTTAATCTCTGACTCCGTCAACTGCACCTGCTTCGGCGCCCTCACTGTCTTCGCATCAAGCAGCTTCCTTATAATGTCATCAACCAAACCCTCATCCATGGCAGGCTCTAATCCCTAACTTCTCAATCTCAGCCTAGAATCTTCAACTAGTGGAAGAGGCCGAGAATAGAGAAGCAAAATCCTGCTTTTGAAATCCTCAGTCGCACCGAAACGGAAAGCGCCGAAATAAGGAACGGGGTAACCCGGAGCACGTGAACGGGGACTGAATCAATGGATTGCAGGAGAAGATCAAGACCAGGTGCATTTTTGGATTGCGGGAGAAGATCCACCGAAATAAGGAACGGGGTAACCCTCATCCATGGTGGGCTTTTTTGTGGAACTTAACGGAGGTGTAACGGAGTATTTAGTAGTTTACAAACGTTAGCTATTTCCCTTTTTTGTTAGGGTTAAAATGCAAATAATAACACTTAATTGAGTAAAACGAGTAGGATGCTCACGTGGCTTCATAGTGTATTGTGATTGGTTAAAATATCAAGGCACCGGTACATTGGGAATTTTCATAGGCACCGTAGACGGACCCATGTCAAAAATAACTTGCACAATACACCCTAAAAGTTCTCAGATGTGAACACATGGCAATTTGTGATCGTAAGTTATATCGCACGCCCGATGTACATGAACACCAAGATAATTTTGTAATTTCTTTTAATTTGAATGGCAATTTGGTGGTCACTAAGTATTCTTCATATCTTTTCCCTGTGTACGTCCCTGAGTATTCTTTTCTTTTCCTATCTCTTTCGCTCTATCTTCATCAGCGTATTGATGGATTCGTCAATAGAATAGAATCCCAGTACGATAGAACAAAAACAAAAACCCACATCAGAATTCTGAAAAGTGTATAGGCACATATTAGAAGCTCATGGAAGTTCAATTTGTTGTTTAAATCTACAACTTCTATATGTGTATTCTTTCTTCAATCCCCATGTATTCTTTCTTTATCTTAACAACTTTTTCCATTAATTTTAATTAATAAATATTTGCAATATTAAATCTGCAACTTAACGCCCCTGCTTTCTTTTTTTCTTTTTCTAATTAATGTTGCAATTCAAAAGTGACAAATTATAAATTAAATTAAAACTAGAAATTATTATATTTCTCATTATTACACAAATGAATATTTGAGCACATTAGAGATTTAAATGAGTTTTTGAATTTTTCAATACTCATTTTATGATTTATGTATACTCATTCAGGACTGTTGTTATGCTCA